TCCCAAGCTGCGAAAGGTGCAAGTACAACACACCTACATTGCATACTGCACATAATGCGCCTGCCTCCGGAAACGGAGGAACTGCTGCTGAGTTCGGAACTCTACCAGGGACCTCTCGACATCCATTGAGCTCCAAACCATGCTGGGCCTTGCGGCATGAAACCAAGCCCGTACAAGGGCATGGGCGCTGTTGCTGTTGATACTGCCATTGTGCTGCGTGCGCATGTGGTCCTTGTGTTCCTGCTGCTGCCTGAAAGGGATTGCCCTGTCCGGTTTGATCACGCACATCCGGGCCTTCCTGTTCCGCGTTCAAAAAAACCGTGACCGCTGTGCTGCGACTGCTTACTGCCTTGACTGGTGGTGCATGCGGTGCGCCTCGGAGATCTGTCTGATCTACAAATCCACGCTCCATCGCGCCTGGGCTATCGCGCGCCTGACCTGGATCGCTCACTGCCGACGCTGGTCAGCCCCGCAGTGAAAACTGCAGAAACAGGTCGATCTCTCCGCCACATCGATCAAGGTCATTAATGAACATACTTTCTCGCATTGTGGGGGGCTGAAACACATTTTGGCTTCCGAGCGCGTTGCGGGAAATCCACACGGAAGCCTTCGCCTACTGTGAGGCCATCGAAGTGGTGGAGGCTCCGCCCGCACTCAGGTATCGCCCACAGGGCCTTCACCAACTGTAGTCAGCTGATGGACTTTGATCTCCAGCACGGTAAAAGGACAACTTGGAGAGGACCTTATGCAGAAAGCAACACGTTTGATTTATGCCCTCACTTTCGAATTCCCAAGTGGACGAGCCTCCTCCCTCCCGATGGAGAAAACCTGGACGAAAAAATGTTGGAAACCTGCGCCACCAAGAGCGTTACACCGTACCGGCAAACGCAAACAGGGTGGTGACCTTAGTCCACTTACCTTTTCGAGCCATATGTCGCAAGACCCTGAGGAGGTTGAATCGAATCCGTTGGACCTCAACGATGGTATGGATGATCGAAGTCAGGTGCCGATAGCCTACACACAGGCTGCAACAGACTGGCTTTCAGAGGCAGGTCAAGCCCTTTTTGCCCAGAGTCCCGCAGTCAGTGTCTCGCAGGTCCTAGCAGATGCAGATGCAGCTTTGAAAATGCCTGATCGTCTTAGTAGTCCCTTTGGCCTCGACTCTGCCAGACCAGCCCTAGTTTTGGCAGATGTCAGAGCCCAGCCGCCCAAGTTGGATCGTGGATACGCCACACAACAGAAGGACGCAGAAGGGGACCTACCTGATATGACTGCCATTATACACATGCTCATGCTGCATCGAGAGCTCATAGTACGTAGTCACATGATATATCTAATCGTAGACAATCGATTGCCTGAGGATGTCCCCTATTGGCCTGCCTTTGCAGCGTGGTGGGCCTCTCGCCGAAGCTTGGTTGGTCCGCAAGAGGAAATAACGGAAGTCCGAGCTGATGCTGATGTCGGCCTTCATAGGATTCCATACTATTGGGCCGGGGTTTTTGTTCTTGAAGCTGCACGCTTTCTCTACCCTGCTCAACACTTTGCACTCATCGACAATGATTGTGTACCAGTCACACTATTTGAAGTCCAAGACCTACTGCAGTTGGCTCATCAGCAGCACCAATGGGCTGATCTCATAGGGTGTGCACGACCAGGGTCTTACTCTAGTTCCGGAATCGGCATGTTGTTATTCACTGAAGCTCACCTCGAATACAACGCAGGTCTGGTCGTGTCGATAGGCAACCGTCACAAGAGCAGCCCACTGGAGCATGAAACAAGTGCTGCGGCGCTGGCACAGAGTCTCCAAGCCTGCCGCCTCGCATTAGTCTCTCGAGCCAAGGCACCGATCAATCCGAGTGAGGCTGCCATCAATGGGACCATATTTACTCTCTTTGTTGGAGTCCCAATGAGAACTGCCCTTGACTTGTGCATTGTGTGGTCACTCTATGGCCTCTACATGTGTAAGCACTTTTGGCCTTGCCGGCTATGAGCACAGCTAACCTCGGCCCTCACGGCACTATAAGATGGCCACGACAATCCCATCCTGGGGCACTCACCCCAGCCGGACAAGAGCGTCACTAGTTGGGCTAGGGCCAATTTCGAACAGGGAATCCTCTCCGTGCTCCCAATGTTAGAAGGCCCATGCACTGCCACATCACTGCCGGGGGAGCGTCTTTTCCAGGCCAGTGCGTTACCACGTAATCGAATGCGACCAACCATTTTTCATGCCTTTGGTAAAGCCAAAGTAGGAGCACAGGCTGCTTTGCGTGACCTGGAGAAGCAGGGCTGGGAAACGCTGCCAATTGCCATACTAGGTATGCCTAATCTGCCTCCAGCATGGGCTGTAGACACCTGGAAGCCAATAGGGGGGGTGCAAATTTACGGGGTTTTCCTCCGGAACAGTCGGCAATAGTGCTCTGCGATTTTGCCTGTTGTTAAAGTGGCGCGCGATTCTCCCAGGGAGCTCCGACCTCTTTCCAGGTCAGGTGCGGGGTGACAGCCTTAGCTGTTGTCCAGAGAGGGAGGACGATGATGACCTCGAGTCAGCTTCTACGCCGTCGTCGAACACATCTTCGCGCAGAGCAAGCCAGCTTGCTCAAGCTGTTGCACGAGATTCGACAAACAATAGCCAGACTCACTGCCTAGGCCAAACTGTTCCCAGTCCACAGCTTTTGTCACCCCCACTCTTTGTGTCCTGGAGCCAGGTCGCAGACTTGAGAGGAATTATAGGTGTACACAAGGACCATGAGGCGTGCCCCTATGATGAGCTGAAAGCAGCTATTGATCATCCCAAGGGTCTTGTCCCGGGAGAAAAAGGCTTCTTTCTAAAGGCCAATGATGATTTGCTCAGCCAACTCGAGAATTCAGTTATGCCTTGAAAGTGGCTGGGTCCTCTAAATACCCCCTTGAAAAGTGGTGCCAAACAGGGTGGCTGAAGTGGGCGGCGAAAGCCGTGGCTAGGTTTCGTCCTAGCTGAAAAAGTGGTGCTTGGGAGGGTGGCTGAGATTTTTTCATATCAACAAAACTGGTGTCGGGAGCCGTGGCTGGAATTGTGCTTTGACATTCATCTCTTTTGCCACTGTGCTGAATTGTCTCGCGAAACTGAATTTCAGTCGTTCACAAAACAAGCTGGAAAGGTGATTTGTTCACCTTTCAAGACCCATCTTCACTGTCACCGCAGTCTGAACAATCGCTGTGGGCCACAGAGCCGCCGCAGCAAGATTCTGAATCATCAAACCCAAGATCACTGATTGCAAGCGGAACTTGCTCAGTGCCATCGCCAAAATCCACTGACAGGAGCACCTTAAATGGACAACTACAGGACGAAACCAAACGAAAACTACAGCAGCATTGCCAGCACTGGTAGGTCAAGTCCGTGAGGTTTTTGGTCGTCCTGCAGTCTAGTCCCGTGCAAACGAAGGCACCCCACAAATAGCAGCTGCGATGCAAGGAATAGACATGGCGTTTCCTGATGGACAGCGCCCCAACAATATGATCTTTGCTTGTCGGCCTTTCTCAAAAACATCAACAAATTCAGAACACCAAACAAAATCAGTGTCCTGCCATCGAAGTATAGTGCACGGGCTTTGTGGATGTCGGAAAGACTAAATTGTCCAGAGCAAAACCATGCCTGAGCAGTTGCAATTGCCAGCCTTCAACTGGCTTAACTTGGTACATCATCTAGGTGGTCTACGGTCTAAGGAGTGCACAGCCCCAGCATGGTCGCCGGACACAACAATTCATTGGTCTTGAAGGAATAGATTTTGGAGTTGCAAGTCAGCCTAAGCGCAAACAGCAGAGCCAGCCCAGTCAACAAACGCAAAACATGTCAATCAATAATCCATAGTCGGTTTGACTAATTTTGTCAATAGGTTGAACCTCGGAACGTTGGGCTCATACCATCTGATCGCCTGACGCCTCTGCTGAAAGACTTCACAACGTCGATAACCAACCTGTTCCGCTCATCTTCCTGACAGTGCGAGGGCAGACTTTCCTGTTAAAGTTACTGTAAAATGTAGGATCTCCCGGATCCCGGGTCATGGCCTGGCCAAACCTTTTTTCTATGAGCAAATGCTGAATGAGAAACATTTAACTTAAATCCGAGAAGCTGGAACTATAAGATGGAGCAAATCCAAACCTTCTATCTCTCGTGCAGTGAGGCGCTCACACCAAGCGGGGCCATACTTGTTGAAACAAGCCCGAGAGTACCTGGACAAATAGTGCCTTGCGAAAGGCTTGGTAGCAATTTGAATGGCAAACATCGTATCGATGGACCGGACTGTCAAGTTCTCAGCCAAGATGCTGTCGGAAATCTCTGTCACTGAGCTTGTCCAAGCCGTGCTCCTTCTTGATCTTGTCGTACTCGGCACGGGCCTTCCCAACAGTTGGGCCCTGCAGCTTAGCAACCTTGGAGCAGGTCAAGCAAGAAGCAAACTAAAGTGAGCCTACAACCTCCACTGAAAGCAAGACCGCAGCGCAGTCCAGTCCAGAGTCAGTCCCCAAGCACCTTCCCTGACAAAACCAATTCACTGCGTTTCTCACATAACATCGCCCGGTCCACTGATCCATGCTTCCCTCAGCCTGGACCATGTGCGTGATCAAGGCGATTGCGTCGTCACCTAACTGACTAACGACTAACGTCAATTGTGCAGTTTTTGCACTTTAGGCTGGGCGCTGGAGGCTTTTCCCCCAACACCAAGGACGGACCGCCAACCAATTCGACAATGAGAGAAATTGACAACAATGGAGCGAACGCCAAGTCGAGATTGATGGAGTGCGTTGAAACAATTATCGTTTCAGTAGTGAAACCTAGTTGAAGAAAAAACTAGTACGGGCCAGTCAGTCGTCCTAAACCACAAGGGGGTTACATGGTTTCCCGGCAGGGTGGTTGAGTGGAGATTTGGCATCTACAAAAAAGACGAACCGAACAAGCTCTTTGGCGCAAACTAAAACCCCCGCCAGGAAGTACCTAGATCTTCTCCAGGCCCGTACCCCCTTGCTCATTTGCTGCGTTTGGCGGCAGATTTTGCCTTCTTTGGGGACGCCTTCCCCTTCGCCAATGCCTTTGCAATGGGAGAGCGCTCAGTGTCCTCCCAAGCCTTGGCATTCTTGGCGGCCCTTTTGGGCGTAGCCGCAGGCGAAGGCGCAGGCATCGATTTGTCGTCAATTTGCTTCTTGAGATCCTGTGCAACAACGATGAGGCACAAAACAAAAAGAAGTTAAGAAGCAAACCGTATTTGGAGCTCTTATTCAGAAAATAACGAGCCAGCATGCAGCATTCAGCATTAATACCAATTATATCAACAAACAACAGTCCTTGAGTTTCTTCTCAATCTGATCTTGCAACACTTTTGGCCATTTGGTCTTGGAGAACTTGAGCTGAGTAGTTGCATATTTCTTCAAAGCTTCAGTCGACTGGATGTAGTGAGAAGGTTCTGTCTCAAGGTCATTGCGGAGCAAACATGCTACAGTCATTGATGCAAAGATGTCCCGTTGGATCTCAGAAGTTGTCGGCGCCTGAACCGCGGCCTGATCTAGCTTGGTCATCGCCTCTGCACTGATTCCGTAGGACTCGTGCGTGCTTGATGAAACGTAGGTCTGCACAGTGGTCAACAGGTCATCGGCTTCCTGAAGCTGCTGCAAACCTAAGATCTGCGCCGAACGTCTTGTTCACTACCATCGGAATTCGAGTGGTTCAACAATAAAATAACAATAAGAACCCTTGGAGAGCTGAAACCGAACCAGTCGTGAGTCGTTCAGTCGTTTCGTGTGTCATATTCAGATTCACGCCAAGACACGGGGAATTTGTTGTTTCATCTCATCCTCTGTTCGGCTGTCAGAGTTGTCAACGAGATGCTTGACTTGGTCAAAGTCCCACGAATCCAAGGAATCAACTACTTTGACATACTTCTCATGAAACTCCTTCAGCGATTCTTTCTGTTTGATCACCTCCTCTGCAACGTCCGTCAACATCTTTGAGAGCTTGAGCTTTCCCTCGTTGAAATGGTCCCGGGCGCGAGGCAAGCAGCAAAGCACATCAGGCGTTTGGAGCCCGGATAGCTGGGCTATGTTCAGCATGGCGTCCTTCACATCTGCCTTGCTGCTCAGCGTGTCCATTGACCAAAAGCCACCTTTGGAATCGGCTTGATGAACAATTGCTGCACCAATCAGGATTGTAGACACCTTGGTTCCAAGCTGGACCTTTACAGCTGTCGAGAGGCCCAAAAGGTCTTCCATGTGTCCTTTCTGGATGAGTGCAGCCAGCCATGCTGTGGGCAGCAAAGCAGATTCATCCACCACCCCACACAGCCTGTTCACTGTCTGCGCAAAGGATTTGGGCCAATCAGAGCCTGCACGGGTGGCAAGCAGAGTCATAGTCACGGCAACGTGTTTTCTTTATATAAAACTAAAAAGTAAAGATGATCTAAATCGGAACACCGGGCCACTTGCAATGTGAAATGGGAAACCAACATCCTAGTCCTAGCCCTAGCCTGTAGTGTCCCTGCTCTTCTGCGCACGCGCCACATGATGATTGCAAAGAGCATTCGTCATAGTCGTTGAGGCAGAAACAAATGAATCGACTGTGAGCTCCTTCTCAGCCAATTCAACCGCCTCACAGCATGCATTTGCTTCTTTTGCGAGCTCCACCAGAAAATCAATGTCAGAGACTGCCAGCTTTGCCCAACCCTCCACCTTGACAGGTGACAGAGCGGCAATGACAACAAAAACTCCTACTTCTCACTCTCGCTTCTCAATTTCTATTTGCTACAACTCTGTGCTGCTGCTGCTACTGCAGCGACCATAATTATTACTTTGCATGAGCGTGACATTTCATGGGCACTTCACAGAGATTGAGATGATAGGCTGGCCTTCAGCAGCCTCAGCATGTAGCCAAGGTTCCTGATGATGTGTGGCGCAGCCCGCTTACTGCCACCTTTGGCACAACCCTTCTCGATGGGACACGCTGCCAGCATCAAAGGCTCATCGCCCACCTTGGTCACGCAGTCGTTGATCTTCTCAACGCAACCTCGCAGCTGCACAAGACCAGCCTTTCCATCAGCACTGCTTGGAGGCATCTTATCTGCCTGCTCTCGGCAAACCAGAATGGACTGTAGCTGCGTCATCAGATTCTCGTTCTCGAGCAGCTTGAAAAGGCCATCGCAGCCATCTGCCTGTGCTTTGCCAAGAGCTTCTTCTGGAAAGCCCTTGAGAGCTTCTGTAATTTTGTCAGAGATTCCATCGGCAGATACTGCTTTGCAAGCCGCAGCTTCTAGGGAAGTCCACGCACTCCTTCAGGTGTGAGTCGTCCAATAGCCAGTCAGGGTCTAGTCTAGAGTCTAGTCTAGTCGAGTCATAGTCAGTGTCAGATCATAGATCAATGAAATGAAATGAGCCTTAGTCTAGTCAGAGTCAGAGTCAATAGTGTCAATAAGAATATGTACTACAGTACAGTACCAGTACTAGTACTATAGTACTACAGTACACATTACATAATGATGCCCAAAACTCAAACCATGTCCAATCCTAGAGTAAACCCAAAAGTTCTCCTCAGCATTTGGGACTTCAAAGCAGCCAGAACTTTCACTGAGAGCTGGTTCTTCCGGTCATAGGCCGCTTTGGCAACTGCAAAGGAGCAAGGATCATCCTGGCCAACATCGCTTGTCAAGGGACCTTTGATAAAAAGTCGAACCCCTACACCCTTGGGTGGTCCAGCGATAGTGAATTTTGGCCCCGGGAGATCTGACCTGGCTGAAGTCCATGATCATCGTTTTGAAGACTTGCAGTTCAAGCAAAATCCTGTTGCAAAGCCCGTGAGATCCATAAGATTTTGTTGGAGAGAAAGGCGCATCCGCTGAGAAATCGTCAGGCAAACTCGCGAGATCAGCCATTCCACAGCTTACCCTGGGCAGGGCAGGACGGCAGACCGGCGGCAGAACCACAACACCTCCCAAAGACTTTAGTACTCCGTACTCCGTCTTCTGTTTTTAGTCGAGTTAGTCTAGTCAGAGTCTAGTCCGGAGTCCAGTCCAATCAGTGACTCAAAAAAAAACATTCGACTCAAATTTCAACTAGTCATAGTCAAGTCAAGTCATGGCATGTTTCCGCTCCAAGCCACGCTAAAATTCCACGCGAGAACTTTGGAAACGATTTTGCTCTGCAGATTTTGTCCAGCCACATGTTATAGAGCTGCAACTGGAGTGAACGAATGGGTCCCTCAGCCACCTGCTCCAATTCACCAATACCGTATTGGTGGGCTGTAGCGTGAATGTAGTGGTTCAAGGAGAGGCCTTGGGACGGACTTGCGTTCAAGAGCTTGAAGAACAAATCAGTAGCCCGGCTCAAATCAGGATCTGTGCTCTTCTCCAAATCAATGTCTTTCAGAATCACCCCAGCCAGCCAAGTCATGATATGTGACACTGTCGATGGCTCGAGCTTTCGGAAGACCAGGTGGGCTTCATCACTCATACCCGTGACCTGCGCCAAAGGAGATTGGCGAACATCGCCGAAGAGCTTGTGCTTGGTCGCCGTCTCTTCAGCAAAAAGCACCATGTCGCGGCAAAGCTTCTCCACCTCAGGAATTTCGGAACTCGAGAGAGGTACTGACAGGCCAGTCAAATTCTTGTCCATAGTTTCGATTGCTCGGCTGCAAATCTTGGCGCTCCACAGCTTGTCCTCTGCAAATGTCTCCTGGTGCTTAGCAAGCGCCGCCTTCGCCTTGTCGACGTGGACATTGGAAGCAACAGAGCGAAGAGCCGGACCAGCAGGGTCTGGGCGTTGGGGCTTGCCGTTGGCCTTCGGCTTGCCCCCCTTCCCCTTTCCCTTCGCCCGCTTGTTGTCAGACCCAGGATGTGCTTCCTCAACCGAAGCCGGACCTGATGTGATTGGGACTGGCGCTGGCCTTTTTGTTCCACGCTTGACTGTGGATGACCCTGACCCCATCACGTCGCTTGAGAACCCCATGTCCATGTCAGAATCCGAATCCTGCGGCTGTCCATCTCTGATCGGTTCAAACTCATCATCATCACCGAAGGCCTCATAGTCCCTTGAAGGTTGCATGGCCTGAAGCTTCCTAAGCAACACACGTGAAATCATCGAATCCGGCAACAACAAAAAGCTGTTGAAGGATGTGGAATCGATTTGATCGATCGGTGTACGGTTGGTCCAGGAATTGAAATGAGTGTTTTGCTGCGAGTCAGCAACCTACAGTCAATCGAATCTTGGCGGCTTGTCTAGAGTTTGAGTTTGCCAAATCCGGCCCAGCTGCTTCTGCAAGCCTTCACGGGTAGAAGTGGACCACGAATCATGGCGCTGGCGCATGGCGCTGGAAGAAGACCGGAACTTCTCATTGGCCGTGTTGGCATTCTCACAGCCAATGTTCTGACATCGTTGGGCACAAAAAGAAAGAAAACATGACTGTGACTGTGACTGACTGAAACGGTTTTTTGACATGACATGGGGACATGGCTTCATTGGGCGGCTGGTCAGTCGAGTCAGGCCGGTAAAGCTAAAGTCTGTCCTGCTGCTTGCTGATTCCGAAGCGGTTGCCCATGATGATCTTCTTCTTCCCAGAGAAGATGACAACAGAAGGCACTCCCTCATCATCGTAGCGCTGAACCCCAAGCTCCTGGGTCACAGTTCCCTAGCAATGACACTTCAATGAACTTGGCCCGACTCGTGCCAAATTTGGGGCACCAACATCATGTGATGTCATTGAATCATATCATATGGATTATTAGTATTCGTATCAGTATTAGTCAGAGCACAAATATTTTTAGACTTGGCCCTGGCCCATACACCTGTCCTGTTCTGCAAAGAGATACTTCTCTTCCGTAGTCCCCCAGTCTTGAACGTTGAACCCATGCTCCGTCAAGAAGGCATCCAGGGGCTGCACCTCACCTTCATTGTAGAGGTCCGTGTAGCGCTCTTCCTTTTTGAACACTGAGAGGTCTATCTTCTCGTGCTGTTTGCGCCCTGGCTGAGCGTTGTACTCACGCTTGCTCTCCCAAGTGTTGTTCAGCTCCTGCAAACATGCTGACTCCGACTCGGTGGCCCTAACTTACTACTACCAAGCAAGGACGCTACTAGGGTCTTCTCTGGCATCGCTACTAGGAGCAAGAACGTTACTAGGGGCTTGTGGCCTTACTACTAGTGAAATTACTAGTGGCAAGGACGCTTCTCAACTGATTCTCCCATCCAAGCGAGCCCTTCCGACCCAGCGAACAAATCGACGCGCAGCGAGAGAACAACAAAGAACTTGAACTAGGGGCCCCTGGCCGTACTACGAGGAGCAAGTAACTACCTACTTCACTCATCCAATGCCTACTTCGCCCCATTGTTTTCCATCCACGTTGAACGGGTCTGGGACGGTCCGGTGCACTCCAGCGGGACTGCAGCGCGATTTCATTCCAAGATCCACTGCCCTACATCCGATCGTGGTCACACAAACCAAACCACCAACATGAACCCTGACACAAGAACGAAAAAACAACCCACACACACTGATCATCAGAGCTGAGCTATCTCACCTATGTGACCGACGACCGGCCAGCAGGATCAATTCTGCTGCTCGGCTCTGCTCGCAGCAAATCAAGCCACAATTCGCGGCAAAACTCCAAACCACATGGATTCAATGAACAGGGCTCGGTCACAGACAGGTCCGGTCCAGTCTAGTCTACCAACCTATATAGATTGCAAATTAAATGAAACACAGCCTTGCAAACACCAGTATTCCGATCCAATCTTTCGATAAGGCTGGACTGATCCAAATGTCAGTAAGTACGCTTGACTCGACCGACTGCCAACTGGTGGCCGAGTGACAATCCCTCCACAACACCGGTCTCTACATCGACCGTCGGTGAATAGGTCTCCAAGTCGATGGTTTCACCATCAGCGTGGCGTCGAAGGAGGTCAAGCATTTGAAGAGTTTCATCAAACCACGCCTCCCCGCACGAGCCCCGGATAAACCAAAATCACCGCATGAACATCTCGTGAATCTCTTGAAAGGAGATCGGGCCGTAAGTTACGGGGAGCGATGGGAACTACCAAGCCATCAACGATGGGCATTACAAGCGAGCCCTTCCGACCCATCGAACAAATCGACGCGCAGCGAGAGAACAACAAAGAACTTGAACTAGGGGCTCCTGGACTCCTGGCCGTACTACGAGGAGCAAGTTCATTCCAAGATCCACTGCCCTACATCCGATCGTGGTCACACAAACCAAACCACCAAGAACACTGATCATCAGAGCTGAGCTATCTCACCTATGTGACCGACGACCGGCCAGCAGGATCAATTCTGCTGCTCGGCTCTGCTCGCAGCAAATCAAGCCACAATTCGCGGCTGTCGCGGGGGCTCGGTCACAGACAGGTCCAGTCTAGTCTAGAGTCTAGACAGTCTAGAGTCCAGTCTAGTCTAGTGTAGTCAGTGTAGTTGTCAAAGTCTAGTCTACAGTAGAGTAGTCAGTAGTCGACAGTCTCTACAGTTGATGTAAGTTCACCTTGAAGTCAACGTGCCATTCATGTGACCGACAAGCAATTCCCTTGGCTTTCTGCCAAATGTATCTAAATGAAAATGTACATTTGGCAGTCTGCCAACATTCCGATTCCAGGATTCAAAGACTCAATCATCTGGAACAAAGATGATCGTCCAACCATCCTCATCCTCCGCCACCGCCTCCTCATGAGCCTCATTGGCCAATACCATCTGTGGTGGAGCAGGCAACGGCAAAGGCCTTGCAAGTCGCGCAGCAGGAACTGACACCAGGTGTAGGCGCTGGAGCCATTCATCACCGGTGAATGGTTGGCTGAGTTGGTTCAAGATCATCCATCCAATATAGTGCATCGTGCGGCAGTGGATCTTCTGGTCGACCGCTTGCATCGATGTCCAGGTCTCAGCATACAGCATATAGTGAACAAGAGTGAACACTATTTAAAGTTCACGGCTATTCAAACAACAAAATCGACGGCACAGTGGCATCCCAACCCAAACAATCAAACAGTCAAACAGCCCACTTGTTTCCATTCAAGTCGCAGACCGGCCATCATCGTAGGCGCATTGAACACTGAACTTCAAGTCGTGTTTCTTGACCTGCGGCGAATCCTCGCAGGCAAAGGACTTGAAGCAAATCGCTGGAAGCGAATCATCATCCACTGCCATCTCCCAGGTTCCGCAGGAGCCGATAGCGAGGCGTTTCGTCCTGCAAAGAGCAGATCAACTTGAAATACCCTGACCCTCCCTGAAACAAAGTGGAATACAGCCTGTTCGTAGAGGAAAACAATGGAGGGTAAGTTGAATGGGATAAAATTTCCAATGAACAATGTCTGACTCTGACTGTTTGACTTGCCGCGCCTCGTTTCACGTTGGAATACGATTTGGCCTTCCTTGGTGGGGGCTGAACCTTGCTGATCTCCACCTCCACTGAAGTGACCGTGCACAAGGAACGCCCACTCGTGTCGTCTTGAGCTCGAGTGGTGATAAAATTTGAACACGGACACACGCGGCATGGCCAATCGAGGGATGAGTCTGATGCGTGTGGTCAATTGATATCAGTTGAGTCAGTTGCGTGTTGCAAACTGTAGTCACTCACTTACCTTACCGGTAGTTACTGTAGTTGGACAGTGACATGGATAGATGATCGATGGAAATTGTCGTTCACCAACCATGTGGATCCAAAATCGCTGCAATTGAAGCAAAGATGATGTGAATAATTGCAATCAAATTCTAAAGAATGAACCGCGCACACCCTGACCGGAGAGTCCTCATTCTCATCCTTCATCGTGTTCAGCGTTTTTTGAGCAATTCCTCCGAAGTTCTTGACTCTGGTCACCTTGGAGAGAGATACTGAGAGACTGAGACAATAAATATAATAATATAATAGATAATAGATATAAAATATGAATAAATTATATAGTCTAGTCACTAGTGATTGTGCTGCTTTGACTTACCCTTGACCAAGATGAATTACAGTAATTTCCAAATCCAAGGCACATTGCAAGGCATGCATTCGAAGCCCTCATCAATGTCTCTCACTCCAGTTTCCTTGGAATGGAATGGGCAACTGAATGTGACAAATCATCAAAGGAAGAGTCATGCTGGCCCGCCATCAAGCCAAGTTTGAAGACAAGCCAACCGAAAATTAAATCTTCAAATACTATTGACCTTGCACGCAGTTCCAAAAAAAACTCCCGGTCAACTACCCGTGTTCTCTCTACTCGACATGAACCAAGTCTCCTTGTTTCTCCCACGTTTGGCCCACTGTAGCTCTCCGCTGCCAACCGACGGATCAACGTAGCGGTCTGGGCCTCTCGCAACCTGTTTGCACGATGTGCAGGTTGGCGGGCCATTCCTGAAGCCACTGCAAAGAAGTCCAACCGCAAGTTCTGGCGACATCGTGCTGTCATGCGACATGGTCGTGTCCAACGATGCCGCTTCGCACACTCAAAGCGTTCTTGTCAATGACTGCAACTTGGAAACCAAATGGCTGAAGGAAACATACTGCAGGCTTTGAATTCCACAACATATTGGGAGAACTTCGCACTACACAGCATTGGCATTAAAGTGATGCAAAGTACTGTGATACTAATACTGATTCTATAAACGGTACGCGTGCTACGCGTGAATTCCAAATTCAGAATTGAATTACAGTACGTTTGATTGCGCGCCGTCTCTTCTCTCTCCCTCTCTTTCTCTCTCTGTGGTTTTGCCATCAAAAGGAGACTCTGTGCGCTACTATCAACTATCAGCTACCCATCTTTGATGTGGCTGAGTCTGATGCGCAGTATTCCGGATCAAATTTAATTTCTTCCAACGATCGTCTCAGGTGCAACCCTTAGACGAGCTGAAAGCTGATTGCAGGATCCAAGCCCCAATGAGGAAAGAGACTCGATGTCTTAGACTGCTTGGCGCAACCAATCAAACTGAGAGCAAAGCAATGGGGCCTGGTTGATTCCTAATCTAGCCATTTAATCCCAGTTTCGGGATCTCGATTCGAGAAATCCAAATTCAACAAAATTTGTCAAATCCAAATTCAATTCACAAACATCAACCATCCATCAGG